CCATGTACACAGGTGGCCATTAGAGCGTTCAGATCAGATCCAGGAATGAGTGCAAGCTAGAGGCCGGATTCACAGCTAAAGTTTCTGAGTGGCATGGAATATGACTGCAGCTGCTTGCGTGGTCTCTGGTGGTCAGTGGTCAGTGGTCAGTGGTCTCTGGTGGTCAGTGGTCAGTGGTCTCTGGTGGTCAGTGGTCAGTGGTCTCTGGTGGTCAGTGGTCAGTGGTCTCTGGTGGTCAGTGGTCAGTGGTCTCTGGTGGTCAGTGGTCTCTGGTGGTCAGTGGTCAGTGGTCAGTGGTCTCTGGTGGTCAGTGGGCAGTGGTCTCCGGTGTGCCCAGGTGGTGTAAGAAACACAGCATGCAGCAAGCAGTACTACAAATGGCAGGTACAGCCAAGGCAGAGAAAAGTTTTGTGCAAGCTGATGAGATGAACAAAGTAGGGCTCTGCGGGCAAACAAGAGCGAAACGGTGAATATCTGTCCAGCCTCGAGATGTGGATTTGTACAGAATACTAAACTCAATTGAAAATAAGAACAGCCAATCGTGCGTACTGGTTTGAACGCGCAGAAGGATTGTCATCTCCACAGGTATCGCAGAGGAAGTCCCGCGGTCTTGCACTTGCACACCATGGACTCTGCCACCTTGCAAACTTCAGATGCAACGTCATCCAACGGTTGACTTGCGTCCACCACCTGTTAACAAACGTTTTGACGGATCATATTCTAACAGTGGAATGATTGGTGGTCAGGCAGGGGAGGTGAAGCACACGCACAACACGCAGTTGAAAAAGATGGGTTGCATTGCACGGGTCACAAGGGCAGAAAGGTTCTCACCACCCAAGTGTCGTCTTTCAGTGCATGGAAATGCTGAGCCACTCGCTGCTGGAACTCCACCTTCTCGTACCGCTCCCCACCATACCCACCCCGCTCTGCTGCATGCTGAGAATTGTTGTAAGCAACGAGTAGCATGTTGGAAAAGACAAGGAAAGGGGACATGAATAATGCAGGAGGCAGAAGGGGGGACGTGGATGGATGCAGGTGTCGGTTTGTACTTGCACGAGGAAGGATGATGAAACACGAGTTGACAGCAATATCTGTGGGAGGATGATGGAAGGAGATGAAAGCATACCTGTGGGTCGATGTCAAGGTAGATTACAACGTCTGGTGCTGGTAGGACCACTTCCGTGGACTGATGGGCGATGGGGGTACAACATGAGACGGTGGAAAGAATTTGATTGCAAAGCAAACAAGGGTGAACCAATATCGCACAAAAAAATGCAAGCATGATGGCACGGAGACATGGAGATGAGAACCGAATGTGGAAGGGGCAAAACAGAAGCTCAGCATTGGTGAGCTGCTGGATCACCTTGCACCAGTGCACGTCCAGGCCCTTGGCGGCTGAGAATGCGATGCCTGAGAACGAGTAGCGGTCCACCACCAGTGTTGTGCCCTCCCCCATCAACCCCTCCATCTCTGCCCTGGCGAACAGGGACGCGGGGAGGGCAGGCCGCGGGGGAGCAGCAGACAGGCAGGCAGGCAGAAGAACAAGTGAGCAGTTGCAGCGAGGGTGGGAGGCGAATGTTGGGAGTTGAGGAGGGGAGCGCCTCTGAAGGCGCCGCACGGCCTTCTTCATGCGCTGTCTGACGCCACACCTGCTCACTGCGCTGCCACCGCCTCTCCTCCGCCTGTCACACATGACCCCTGCTTTTGAAAAATTGCAGGGAGGTTTTGGAGATTCTCAAAAACACCCTGCTGCAACTGCCGCACATGAGCCATGAGCCGCCCTGCTGCACCTGCCGCCTGTGTCATGAGCCGGCCATCTCCTATGCCCTCCCCCTGCCGTGCTGCTGGTAGGAGGGGAGTGGGGGATAGTGAAGGCGAGTACAGGAGTGTACAAGGTCTTCACGATCGATTGCAGAACACCCAGGTGCCGCGCATCCTCTTCTTGCCGCGCCGCCACCCTCTCCTGCCTGCCCTGCTCCTGCTTTGCAGAGAAGAGGGCGGGGCAGGGAAGGGACGAAAGACAGGGGCAGCTGGCAGCAAATTGCATGATTGCAAAAAGGCTCGCGCACGTGATGCCATGCAACCGTGCATGTGATGCCATGCGACCGTGCATGCAATACCATGCGACCGTGCATGCAATACCATGCAACCGTGCATGTGATGTCATGCAACCGTGCATGTGATGCCATGCAACCGTGCATGTGATGCCATGCGACCGTGCATGTGATGCCATGCGACCGTGCATGTGATGCCATGCGACCGTGCATGTGATGCCATGCAACCGTGCATGTGATGCCATGCAACCGTGCATGTGATGCCATGCGACCGTGCATGCAATACCATGCGACCGTGCATGCAATACCATGCAACCGTGCATGTGATGTCATGCAACCGTGCATGTGATGCCATGCAACCGTGCATGTGATGCCATGCAACCGTGCATGTGATGCCATGCAACCGTGCATGTGATGCCATGCGACCGTGCATGCAATACCATGCGACCGTGCATGCAATACCATGCAACCGTGCATGTGATGTCATGCAACCGTGCATGTGATGCCATGCAACCGTGCATGTGATGCCATGCGACCGTGCATGTGATGCCATGCAACCGTGCATGTGATGCCATGCAACCGTGCATGTGATGCCATGCAACCGTGCATGTGATGCCATGCGACCGTGCATGCAATACCATGCAACCGTGCATGTGATGCCATGCAACCGTGCATGTGATGCCATGCGACCGTGCATGTGATGCCATGCGACCGTGCATGTGATGCCATGCAACCGTGCATGTGATGCCATGCAACCGTGCATGTGATGCCATGCAACCGTGCATGTGATGCCATGCGACCGTGCATGCAATGCCATGCGGCCGCGCATGCGATGCCATGCAACCGTGCATGAGATGCCATGCAACCGTGCATGTGATGCCAAGCAACCGTGCATGTGATACCATGCGACCGCGCATGCGATGTCATGAGAACGCGCATGCGATGCCATGGGACCGCGCATACCATGCCGTGCGACCGTGCATGTGACACCATGCGACAGTGCACGCGATGCCATCCGACCGTGCATGTGACCGTGCCACCCACATGGATGCGATGCCATGCAACCATGCATGTGATGCCATGGAACCGTGCATGTGATGCCATGCCATCACGTTCCCTCATATGATTTCCACAATTAATCCCTCTCTTTAACCTCCACCCCCCCCCCCCCCCCCCCCCCCCCCCCCCATGTATCACTCCCTCCCATCTCACTTCTTCTCAAATCGATTCGCCGCAAACAGCTCGTGAATCCGACGGTCCTCAATCTCCTTCGTTTCTCTCAAGTACGCGTCTATCTCGCGTCCGATTGTTGTGCTGCGATCTGGGAACCGCATCGCCTTCACTGGTCCTAAATCCCGGGATTTTAAATGCTCCACCAGCCGAGCCACCTGCGACGACTTGCCGCTTCGATCCAACCCTTCAAGCACAATCAAAGCCCCGCGTTTCGCGCCGCAATTCGAGGCGCCTGTCGGGCTGTGCGCGAAGGCGGATCTGGAGGAAGAATCCGACGCATCAGCCATCAAAGATCGGACTCTGCTAGCTCCGCGACACGTTCCCAAGCGAGGGCGAATTGACACAAGGGGAAGAGAGCGCGGAGAGTCGGATGGACACACGAGATTCCTGACGGAGCTACGACCAGGGTTGGGAGAGAGGCTAGATCCGAGCCTGTGGACGAGGTTCGTAGCAAAGCTGATAGCGAGAGCGAACGAACGTCTGCGGAAGGTGTTTAACTGCGAGGAATCTCCGATATGAAGGACGGGACTAGAGCGTAGGTGAAGGGAGCGAACGAGTAAGCCCATGTGCACTCGCCCCACCCAGCCAATACGGGCGAGCAAACTGGCAGAATAATGCGGAGCGTATGGAACGCGGCGATGGATGATAGCAGATGTTGCTATGGCTCTGGTGCGAAACGAGCGTTTCGAAATATTCACACCAATAGCGCACTCGTTTTATCTCCAAGACTTTGAATTTTGCTGGTATAAACGTGTGAAACGACCTCAGGGTTTCCAGTCCGTCCGCGTCACAGGCGAACAGGCACATACGTTCGCCCAATTAGTGACGTGGTTTCCATGAATCGCGAATGTCGCTACGTCGTTCGAAACAGATTCGAAGTTCAGTCCGCCTCCACCAATCAAAGCCGATCTTGCCTTTCAGGTTACCCTGTCAACTGCGACACTACAATCACACTGTACCTGTCCCCAATCGATCGGGGGCAGAATCGATGAGGGAGGGACGCGCCCTAAAAAACGAAACCAACAGCCTCGCCGCTTCTTCCGCCGCTCCTTCCGCTGTTCTCCCAAGGTTACCTCCACCGGATCTCCGTCCACTTTCGATTTTTCTTTCCGCGTTTTTGCAAGACGCCGTCAGACTTATCTAACGTCGCGGTCTTGTCCATAATCTGCCAATCGCAACGACCCGCGGATGCAGAGGAGCTGAGGAACAGTTTTCTAGCGATGCGATAAGGTTATCAAGCTAAGCGACGAGCCTAAGCAACGAGTCTAAGCGACTAGTCTAAGCAACGAGCCTAAGCGACGAGCCTAAGCAAGGAGTCTAAGCAACGAGTCTAAGCAACGAGCCTAAGCGACGAGCCTAAGCAACGAGTCTAAGCGACTAGTCTAACGAGCCTAAGCGACGAGCCTAAGCAAGGAGTCTAAGCGACGAGTCTAAGCAACGAGCCTAAGCGACGAGTCTAAGCAACGAGCCTAAGCGGACGATCGGGCAGGGTGGCGAACGGGATTGTGTGAGTCAGCGTTGCTTTTGGTAAACCAGCTGTTGAGGCAGAGGAGGCTTGACATCGCAAAACCAACTCGAACACCAGACTGTTGCGAGGCGAGGGGCTGTACACGAATGCTGGAAGCGGCTGGCTGAAATCACACCACAGAATCCCCTTCACAGCCGAGCAGCGATTGGTTCGCGATTCTCGTTGTAGCGGATCTTTGTTCGCGAATGGCGGGCGCGGCGGCCCGCCGGCAGCGCAATCTCGTGATGGCGGCCGCTCTGGGCGTGTTCACCCTCGGAACGCTCTCGCTGCCGCTGCTGCTGCGGTACTGCCTCCCCCCTCATCCCCGCCTGTCCTTCCCCTGCTCGTGTCACGCCTCGCCTACCCACCCTCCTCCGCACTTTCTCCCTCCCTGTCCTGCCTGCGTCCAGTCGCATCCCATTCATTTCCTCACCACCGCTCCTTTCAGGATTCTAAGTAGAGGCCTGCCTGCATATTCGCAGTAAGAGCTCCCTGAATTTGATTGCGTCCACGCGCATCTCTTTGTGTTCTGCCTCATCCTTAGACTCTCTTCCTCAGGCTGGCTGAGTCTCATGTCCCCATTCCTCTCCTATCTCCCCTTTCCTCTGCCTTCCGCCTGCCGCACGTCTTGGACTTTCTTCCTTTTCCTCCGCCGTACTCCCCTCTCTCCCTCTCTTGCCTTCTTGGCTCCTCATCCGCTTTCACTCGCGCTGCTGCTGGAGAGGGAGGGGGGCATTTGAACCCGCAGGCAGGATACAGAGAGTCTCGTTTCCCTTGGCGAATCCAAGCATTGGTTCCTCTCCACTGCCCTCTCCTTCCCTTCCCCCTCGCTTTCTTCCCAGCCTCTTCCACTCGTAGCCCCTGGTGGAGAGGGCCTACTGTCACATACCATATTCTTCCCTTTTTTTCCACTCCTCCCCTCCAATCCCTCCCCTTCCCGCTCCCCCCTCCGCTCTCTCTCCTCTCCTCCCTCTCCTCTCCTCTCTTGCCCTCCCCGCCCTCCCCCTCCCCTCCCCTTCTCTCCCCAACCCCTTCCACTCGGAATTGCTGGTGGAGAGGGAGGGGGTGCTGAGCCCTCAGGCAGCGCATGGAGAGTCTGGTTTATCCCCACGAATCCGAGCACCATCTCCCCCTCCCCTCTCATCTCCCTCGCCTCCCTCTCCTCCCCTGCCCTCCCGTCCCCTTTTCTTCCCAGCCGCTTCCACTCGCAGCCCCTGGTGGAGAGGGAGGGCGCGCTGAGCCCACAGGCAGTGCAGCGAGGGCCGTACCTGAATGCTGGCAGCAAGGACATCGGTAGAGATCCCACTCCCATTCACGTGTACAAGCAGAAGAGGGAGTCTCAGGCAGATCAATAGAGTTTCATGCCGTAAGCCCCCGGATAGAAGCGCAGGCCTCGGATAAGCGCCGGCGCTTATAAAAGGATGAGGGCGCTTATATCCGGTCCTCAATTAAGCGCACCCCTGAAGGCTTACGGATTATAAGCGCCACCCTCTGTAATATTTTTTATATTTTTACTGAAAACGCTGAAACGAAACACAATATTGCATCCCCACATTCAGAATTTCGAAATCCTTGCCCCTCGCGCGACTCAATGCCTTCGCGTCCAGTCAGAATGAGCTGTCATGGGGTCAATCTGACTCATTCTGACTGTGTGTGTTGGCAGGGAGTCAATCTGACTCATTCTGACTATGTGTGTTGGCAGGGAATCAGCCACTGCCAATTCACGCGAAATTCAAATTCAATGCCCTCTACAATATCGATTCGATTCAAATCGCAAGGACGAGATGAACACTTTAGTGTAAAAAAAACTAGATTTCATATATGTCATTATATAAGCCCCGGCGCTTATAAAAATCCTCAAATATAAGCGCACCCCATAAAAAAGGTGTTTTTTTACACCCCCAGGGGCGCTTCTATCCGGGGGCTGACGGGTACTAGTGGGAGTCCTGTATTTTGTGTATAAGTAATCAACAGGCGCTTCCCTCAAAGCATCTTCCGACATTGTGCAAACCCGGTTATTTCGTTACGATTAAATCGAGCGATGCAGGCTGGGGTCAGGGTGGCTCGCCCTACTCTATATCACAATCACGCCACGGAAAATGTACAGTTCTTGTTTACAGTTAGTACATCTCATTTGTACACAATGCATGCATAACTGTACACAGACTAGGTACAAGTTCCTCTCCATCATGTAAAAAAACACTATCAATGCTTCCCTCTCCAGCAAAGGTTTGCAAAGCTGCGGGATCATATACAGGGACCGTAAGGCAAGCAAGTCCTCCTTGCCTCCGCCGTCCTCTCTACATCCCATCCCACACACCTCGTCTCTCCTCGTCTGCACATCCCACAAGCAGCATCATCTTCTCTTCCCGTGCCGCCCCCGCGCCTTGCCTGCCCCTCTCTCCCCGGCAGCAGGCGCACCCCCCACAGCCAGCACAGTGCCCTCCCTGATGCCCTCTGCTGTTCCTGCTCCTCCCTCTCGCTCCACGATCTTCTGCGCCTCTATGAACACCATCAGATCCCGCACCTGCAGGGGGGAGGCGGGGGGGGGGGTGTTGGAGGGAGAGCGGTGATACACAGGTGTCCTGTCCATGCCGCATAGAACTGCCAATCAGACCACCCCCTCCCTCTCGCTACACTATCTTGTGCGCCTCTATCGCGCATAAAGCAGCCAGTGGAAGAGGGAGAGCAGGGTGGTAAACATTTGTCATGGCGTTTTACAAAGTGCTTGCACCACGACTACTGTCAGGAGGCCAGGGTCGTTGGTCATAAAGATGGGGGTCAGCTTTGCCAAGCCCCTTTGGTCACCTACTCCTCTGTCCCATTGCCCCTTCAAGCGCTCCTCTCCTCTCACCTGCTCCTCCAGGTCTTTGATCTTCTCGTCCCGTGCAGCCACTGCCGCCTTCTCCCTGCCAGCACCGCCGCAACACGGTGAGAGGGGAAGTGACGTGGACTCAGTCAGGCTGACAGAGTTGATGCAGTCAATCAAACGGAAAACACCTTTGAGGAGAGACTTTGAGCAGGTGAGAGGGCGATGAGCCGCAGAGTGTCATGGGAGGTGGGTCCCAAACACACCACCCGCATACCACTTGATCACCACCCTCCCACTCACACCACAAACATCACTCACTCCCCCCTCCACCGCACTCCCCCCTCATGCCACATCACGTCACACGCCACTCATCCTTCCCCGTACCCCCTGCCTGGTTCCCTTTTCACCTCTCCTCCTGCTGCTTGAACTTCTCCTGCCACTGCTTCTGGTTCTTAATTAGCGAGTCGTTCACCTGCCGGCACACCACAGGCACACAGTGGGTGCAGGGGAGCATGGAGCATGGCAGCTACAACACCACATGGGTTCCACAGGCCAAGAGGATGGTAGTATGGTAGTATGGTATCGCTGAAGGAACTTTGATGATTGACAAGAAAGGACGGCTTTGGTGCACTCACCTGCCAGTCCCAAACCCAGTAGGCCACTCACCTGCCAGTCCCAAACCCAGTAGGCCACTCACCTGCCAGTCCCAAACCCAGTAGGCCACTCACCTGCCAGTCCCAAACCCAGTAGGCCACTCACCTGCCAGTCCCAAACCCAGTAGGCCACTCACCTGCCAGTCCCAAACCCAGTAGGCCACTCACCTGTTGCAGGAACTCCTCCTCCTGCTCAGCGCGCTCCAGCCAGGACTGCACATCTGCACCTCCAAACACTCTCGCTCCCTTCCTTTGTTGCAGAACCTCAAACCATGGCTTTACCACTTACCTGTCTCATACATACCAGTATCACAAAAGATGTTACAAACCAAAACCACTGACCTGCCTCAGAAACTCCTTCTCCTGCTCGGCGCGCTCCAGCCGGGACTGCAGCTTCTGCACCTTCACACTCTCCCTCGCCGCCTCTGCTGCTGCCACCGCCTCGTCCCTCTCGGCCTTGGCTGCTGCTAACAGCCCCTCAAAGTACTGCGCGCATGCGCATGCAGGGGGCGAAAAGGATGAAAGATAGTGATACTTCAGAGGCATGCACTCCTCCACCCCACTTGTGCTGCCAGGAAGCCCTCCAAGTATTGCGTTCATGCACGTGCAGGGAGAGAATGGGGGATGGAGGACGCGCATGCAGGGACAGGGTGGGAGTGTGAAACACTTGCAAAGTCATGGCGACACCAGCGTTGAAATGTCAGCGGTCTTCAGTCCTCTCCTGTCTGTCGTTTCATAGTGACAACAGCGATGTAGTTGTGCTGTGTCTTTTGTCGTGTGTCGTCGCTTTTCAGCCGCCTCACATTGGTCATCAGCCATCCGTCCTCTTTTGTATCCCCCGGTCCGGTCATCCGCTGTTGATTCAATGCCAACTTTCAATTGGCATCATTCGTCTCACGTCATTCGACTGCCATACAATGTTGCTCACCTGTTATCTAAAAAATTCCTGTGTCTTTACCATACAATAAAATTCCTCCACTCTTTTAGGCATGCACACATGTTCGACCTGAACTGATTCGACTTTAACTGCTTAGAACTTGGCAGGTGGTCGGACCAATTTCGAACCAATTTAAATTGAACTGGGACCTGACTGGTTCGAGGTTGACCAAAATTGTCAACCAATCGGTTCGGTCAATACCGTGCACAGTTGGAGTACAAGTGGTTGTAAGTTTGGGTGCCTAAAATCAGAAAACATTCGTGTGTGTGAAAAAACTATGCACATACGTGCAGTGAGAGGGCTAGATTCTAGAACCTGGAATCAGGCATTTGAGCCCCCCTGAGAACAGGAACAAACATATAGTTGACAAGAGTTTAGGGTTGGGAGAGGAGTTACCAGTCGTTGTGAGTCCAACTGCGTGGTGAGCAGGTGCGTGTACTCATAGGCCACCTGGGGAGAGAAATGGGGGGGTAATGAGGGTGCACGGAGAATGTGGGAAGCAAACGGGGGATGACGAGGGTGCAACGAGAATCTGGGAAGAAAACAGGGGATGATGAAACGAGGGTGCACCGTGCAAGGAGAATGTGAGAAGAAAATGGGGGCTGATGAGGGTGCAAGGTGAAGACGAAGTGTGGACATGCGCAATCTGCGATTTCGAGTGTGGTCGGGCGCTTGACAGCGCATACAACCACCTCCGCTCTCCTGGGCATGGCCTTCAACTCATGCAAGAACAGAGCGTGCACTTTCGTGTCTCCCTGTGTCTCCATTGTAAGCGGCTGTGTCTTGCATGAGTTGAATGCCATAACTAGGAGAGCGAAGGTGGTTGTACACGCTGACGAGCACACGACCACACTCGAAATCGCAGAGCGCATGTCCACACTTCCAGTCGTCTTCTGGTCCGATGTACCCACAAGCCACCAGGACGGGAAGAAGATGTGAGAGCGGAGGGTGCAAGGGAGATGTGGGAGGAGAAGAAGGAGAAGCGAGAAAAAAATGGGCACTCATGGGTGTGTGCAAGCTTAGCAGGTGCATGTAGTCATATGCCACATGAGGGGCAGAGATGAAAAGGGGATGAGGAGGGGGACAACAGCAACAACGGGGTAATAGCGGCGGATTAGGCGGGGGGTTTGAAGGGACGGCAAGAAGTGACACTAACCTAGGAAGAAAAATGCTTCCTGTGAGAAGTAACGGCAAGGTCCGCACTAGGAATGGATGGATGGATGGTGCAAAACAAATGGGCGCCCTATGAGTAACGGGCTGGCTGGGCGATGGGGCAGGCAGTGCCACGGAAGCGTAGTTGTGCAGCAGAAACCAGCAGGGGTGCTGATGAGTAACACGCTAGCGAGAAATTCTGCTAAATGTGCTTTGAATGCCAGCTGCTGCAGCGAACGCACTGACCCTTTCCCAGCGCGTGTGATGGGTGGGAGGTGAAGGTTTATCATGCCCACCCATCGAACACTGTCAGTGTGATTGAGTAATCCTATTGCAAAGCCAGCACTGAACGCATCAGTTTCTGGAGGAGTGTGGGGCCGACGCACGGATTGTCGAGTTGACTAAAAATCACGTTGTGTGAGATGGGTGGGTAGGAGGCTATCGGTGAGAATAGTGAGGTTTGTTACTGGAGCCGACATAAAGTACGCAAGCACCGCCTGATGCACAATAAAGTTGCTGCTGCAGGGAACGTACTTATGCGACCAAATCACGTGTCACTCCACGTCACAGCCCTTCCAGTTGATGCCACAGCGCCTTACCAAACTCAATCAACCGCTCATCACCGCATTGGCAAACTCCTTATCCCCGCCCAATGGCGATGGTGATGTCAGCTGTGGGCTGCTACTCTCCCCAATGGCGATGGTGATGTCAGCTGTGAGCTGCTACTCTCCCCAATTCCCTTCCCCACTTTTCCAAGTCAACTTAAAACTTACCGATTCGAGCTTGCTGTTCATCACGGCCTGGGCAAACTCCTCATCCCCCCCGTGGCGATGGTGCTGGTTGCTGCAGCTGCCTCCGGGCCCCACTTCACACTCCCCTCCCTCCCCCCGTCCCCTTCCCCCCGCACTCCCCACTCCCCCACTCCCCCCTTTCTCCTTCCCCCCTCCATCACTCCCCTCTCTAGCACCACCGGTCCCGCCCTCCCCTCCCACACGCCCATCTCCCCCATCTCCCCCACCTCCTCCCCCTCCGCCTCCACCTCCCCCTGCCCCTCCGCCGCGTCCCCCTCCGCCCAGGTCCCCAGGCGCGGGGAGCTCAACGAGTTTGCCGTCGGTCTTGGAGAGCACGAGGCGGTGCACGAAGGCGTCGCCCACATAGTCCCACACGCGCTGCGACGCCACCTCCAGCGAGTAGCAGTGCTGCGACGTGCGGAAGTGCGACTCCGCATGGCCCCCTTGATATCTGTGGGGAAGGGGGAAGAGGAGTGGTGCCGGGGGGTTTGAGAGATGGGAGGAAGGAAGTGCGTAGGGATGAGCAAGGGGCGAATACGAACGTGTTCGTGTTTGCCCCTGCACGTTCGGTTCGGCGAAGACTTTTAGCAAAAACAGATGTTCGGTGTTCGCCTGTGAAGGCGTGTTCGGGCGAACCTCGAACACGTTTGTCACGAACACTTTAAGCTAAAAACAAAACCTGTTCGGTTCGCCTCGGACATGTTCGAGGCGAACCAAACACATGTTCGTTTCTTTGCTCAACCCTAGAAGTGCGCTGAACAAGGTTACTTCCACGTTGCTGTGAGTTGTCACCTCCAGCGCATGGCAGTGCTGCGGCGCTCTCAAGTGCGGATGGGTGGGAAGCAAGGGTAAGGTAGACGAAGCAGATGATCCAGAGAATGTCATGAGCCGCACACAGCACACTTCACGATCGCACAAAAGCACAGCCAGTCCCCCACACCATCCCACCAGCAAGCGAGCAAGCAAAGCCCACACCCCACAACGTCGCATATGAGGCAGATGGCAGATGCAGAGGCTGTCTGTCGTTGTGAATGGCGAGGACACTGCAGAGTTACCCTAAAGCACAGCCAGTCTCTCCATGACCCACACCAGCACGCCACACCAGCACGCCACACCAGCACGCATGCAAGAAAGAAAGCAAGCAAGCATGCAAGAATGCAGCACTCACCGGCCGCACCCCACGAAGCCGCAGATGAGGCAAATCCAGAGGCTGTCGTGTGAACCGCACACAGCACACTGCGACTTGTCTGACGGCTGCTGGCAGTAGCGACACACCTGCGGGTGGTGATGTGGGCGGGGGGGGGGGAGGAGGGGATGATATATTACTGAGGGGCTCAGAACTTGTGTGATGGAGGGCCGTCTGGCAGGCATGCGGAAGAGGAGAGGGGGCGGATGTGGGAATACGGGACGGGAAGAATCAAGGTGGTGGGCTCAGAACTTGTGTGACGGACGGCTGTCTGGCAGGCATGCGGAAGGCACAGCTGGTATGAGTGACAGCAGGTGTGGTGTGGGGGGGGGGGACGCAGCAGCCATTGGGGCGCGTGGGTGGAGTGGGAAAGGGGAGGAGTGGGGGAATGGTTGCTTGAAGATGAAAGAGCAGGCAGAGAGGCGATGGGTAGGTGCACGCACAGATGCATGTAGAGAGGACATGACACGGCATATGCACGCAGAGAGGACATGACACGGCACATGCACACAGAGAGGACATGACACGGCACATGCACGCAGAGAGGACATGACACGGCACATGCACGCAGAGAGGACATGACACGGCACATGCACGCAGAGAGGACATGACACGGCACATGCACGCAGAGAGGACATGACACGGCACATGCACGCATGGGGCAAGAGGGGCGTGTACAAGAGGACGAGTGGGAGTGCACATCCGCCAACGAGCATACTGGATGCCCTTTGAGTGAGCTCAAAGGTCAAAAGCACGCAGAGGGCAGGAGGAGCACGCACAGGGCAGGAGGAGTCGGTCCATTTGGAGATGCAGGAGGAGTGGAAGGAGTGGTTGCACACGGTGGTGAGGATGCCACTGATGTGCCGATCCAAGCGCTCTGCCATGCACTCCCACACATGAGGAACGGGGGCGGGTGATAGGTGGGGTGGTGAGGAGGGGTACGGACGAACCAGATGGGGGAGGGAAGGGAGGCGTACGGACGAACCAGAAAAGGGAGGGGAGGGGGGAAAGGAGTGAGATGGAGGCACATCGTTTTAAGCAAGCCGCTGATGTCTCCATCTCAGAGCAGCAGCATGAAGGCAGGACGGCAGGTCTGTGAAGCTGGCAAGGGGGCAGGTAGGCGGGTTGGGAGTTGAGCAGGAGGAAGCAGAGGGGGCTATGGTGGTAATGGCCAGCGGCTTACCGAGGCACACGGGGCAGGAGGGCAGCTCTGTGAGGCCCGCGGGGGGCGTGGCTGCATCCTCCTGCGACCCCGTCACCAGCACCTGCTTCGTGAACAGCACCCGACACAACTCGCTCTGACACGTGGGAATGGACGGGGGGGAAGCAAGGTGGACAGGGAATGGGGAAACGGAAGGGGAGGGCAGGACGGGGGAGTGCTTTTGAGACATCTGACAGCCCCGCTTTACGGGCAGGGGGCGTGGCTGCATCCTCCTGCGACCCCGTCACCAGCACCTGCTTTGTGAACAGCACGCGGCACAACTCGCTCTGCCACATAGGAATGGGGGATGGGCATGGGAAATGGGGAATGAGAAGGACGAGGGGATGGGGAGGGGGACAGGGGGATGGGAGGCCGTCACCAAAACCTGCTTCGTAAACAACACCCGAGACAGCTCGCTCTGACAGATGGGATGTGGGGGATGCGCATGGGGAATTGGGCATGAGGGGGACAGGGGGGTAGGGCGAGGACCGGGGGACGGCAAGGCAACACCCATGAACAACACCCCACTCTGACATGTGTGGATGAGGGATGAGGAGATAATTGTCGCAAGAAATTATGGATGAGACAAGCCCTTTGACATCATGGATGAGACAAGCCGTTTGACATCGAGTTAATTGATAACAACAACGAGGCTGTTGCTAGACGGAGAACAGGTGCTTTTGCAGAGGATGCAGGGGAGAGAGGAGAGAGTGGCACGCGCACCTGCATGGAGGAGCAGGGCTTGTTGTGGGTAGGGAGGGCTTGTTGTGGGTAGGGAGGGCTTGTTGTGGGTAGGGAGGGCTTGTTGTGGGTAGGGAGGGCTTGTTGTGGGTAGGGAGGGCTTGTTGTGGGTAGGGAGGGCTTGTTGTGGGTAGGGAGGGCTTGTTGTGGGTAGGGAGGGCTTGTTGTGGGTAGGGAGGGCTTGTTGTGGGTAGGGAGGGCTTGTTGTGGGTAGGGAGGGCTTTTTGTGGGTAGGGAGGGCTTGTTGTGGGTAGGGAGGGCTTGTTGTGGGTAGGGAGGGCTTGTTGTGGGTAGGGAGGGCTTGTTGTGGGTAGGGAGGGCTTGTTGTGGGTAGGGAGGGCTTGTTGTGGGTAGGGAGGGCTTGTTGTGGGTAGGGAGGGCTTGTTGTGGGTAGGTAGGGAGGGCTTGTTGTGGGTAGGGAGGGCTTGTTGTGGGTAGGGAGGGCTTGTTGTGGGTAGGGAGGGCTTGTTGTGGGTAGGGAGGGCTTGTTGTGGGTAGGGAGGGCTTGTTGTGGGTAGGGAGGGCTTGTTGTGGGTAGGGAGGGCTTGTTGTGGGTAGGGAGGGCTTGTTGTGGGTAGGGAGGGCTTGTTGTGGGTAGGGAGGGCTTGTTGTGGGTAGGGAGGGCTTGTTGTGGGTAGGGAGGGCTTGTTGTGGGTAGGGAGGGCTTGTTGTGGGTAGGGAGGGCTTGTTGTGGGTAGGGAGGGCCTGTTGTGGGTAGGGAGGGCTTGTTGTGGGTAGGGAGGGCTTGTTGTGGGTAGGGAGGGCTTGTTGTGGGTAGGGAGGGCTTGTTGTGGGTAGGGAGGGCTTGTTGTGGGTAGGGAGGGCTTGTTGTGGGTAGGGAGGGCTTGTTGTGGGTAGGGAGGGCTTGTTGTGGGTAGGGAGGGCTTGTTGTGGGTAGGGAGGGCTTGTTGTAGAGGTGTGAGAGAGGGAGAGGGAGGGAGGGGCGCACCTCCATGGAGGAAAATGGTTTGTTGTTGAACTGCCGGAAAAAGCCATCCGCCGCCTCTTGGGACTTCATTCGCATGAGCACCATGTAGCGCTCTGATAGGCTGTCGTTCCTGGTGTAGGGTTGACAGGGCGCAGCAGCGGAAGCAGGGGAAAGAGCGACAACATTCATTCGCATGAGCAGCATGCATGTAGCTGTCGTTCCTGGTGGGGCGGTTGACTTGACAGGAGGGGCAAAGACAGGCAAACAGGCAGGCAAAGGGGAGACAGGTGACTTCATTCATTCATTCATTCGCATGAGCAGCATGTATGTAGTGCTCCGATAGGCTGTCGTTCGTTTCGTTCCCGGTGAAGAGTTGACAAAGGACAATGAGGCGGGCATGGGACAGCAGAGAAGGCAGAGAAGGCAGAGAAGGCAGAGAAGGCAGAGAAGGCAGAGAAGGCAGAGAAGGCAGAGAGCCGAAAGTTGATTCGACTCAGTTCCATGAACACCCTGTACTGCCCTGACAGTCTGTCGTTCCGGTTGAGTTGAATTCACATGTGTTACTCACAACACCCCACCTGATAACGCGTATGCTCTTCATGGCCCCCAGCAGCAGTACGTCCCACCTCATCAAACCGCACTTAACCTCAACCCACCTCATCTCTCACGCACCACACCCTACCTCACCTTACCTCGCCGCACCGAACCGCACCTGACGATGCGCATGCTCTCGATAGCCCCCAGCAGTGCGCCAGTGAACTGGCAGAAGTCGGCGCCTGTCATGTACGTGGGCACCGCCAGCACACACAGCTCCACTCCCCTGTCGGGCTGGTGAGGGAGCAACAGAGAAAGGGGTCAGGGGGGACACGGGACATGGGCAAACGGAAAACAGCACAAGTCAGCGCCTGTGATGTACGTGGGCACTGCCCGCCCGCACGGCTCCACGCCCCTGTCGGGCTGGTGAGCGAGGGCGCATGGCGTGGCGCCGTGGCGTGGATGGGAGAGAAGAGGAGGCATGGGAAATCGCAAACAGCACAAGTGGGCGCCTGTCATGTGGGTGGGAGACAAGACGAGACATGGGCAAACAGCAAATAACAGAAGTTGGCATGTACGTGGACAGTGCTAGTAGCACACATAGCTCCTCGCCCCTGTTGGGCTGGTGAGGGGGCATGTGAAAGGAAAAGTGGAGAAGAGGCAACATGGGCAAACAGCAGACGTCAGAAGTCAACACAGGCAAGGTAAGTGCGCCGTTCCCGCACACACGCTGCACCCTGCAGCAGCACACGGCCCTTCACACCCTCACCGCCTTCCTTGCTCCCATCTTCCCGATGTAGTCCCACCTCCTCCCCCCTCTCCCCCTCATTTCCCCTTACTCCCCACCCCCTTCCCCGGGTCACCCAACAGCTCCTACCGGCAGGTTCTGCAGCGAGCCGGGGCTTTCCGCGGTGTTGCGGTAGAGGTGAATCACGCCGCGTGTCGATTCCACCTTGGGATTGCCGGACGAGAACGGGATGCTCTCGTTATTGTCACTTCGCGCGTTGTCACCCGCCCCGCGGTCCTCAGCTTCGCGGATTTCACCTTCGAGTTCCCCTGGCCGTTGGCCACGTGTCAGCTTCTCCGCATCTGACGCCGGCGAGGTGCTACTAGCAGCGTTAAGCGAGGCCCCGTTAGTAGCACGACGAACCGCGTCGCTGTAAGAGGTGACGGCAGCAGCGGTACTGGTCTGGGAGTTTGCGTCCACGTCAGCATGGACTTTTAGAGTGAACATGGTGATAATAACGAACAGGGAAAAGTTTTTACGTGTTATCCGCCGCTATGAGTGTCAGTTTGTGGCCTCGATACAGGTCACTCTCTCTGTCCTCGATACAGGCCACTGTCTCTGTCCTCGATACAGGTCACTCGCTTTGCTCTACATACGGGTTGAGGACTACGACGACAATCGTGCAATTACTATCTCCACTGGCCTGGTAAAATTGCTTTACGGTGGTGTAAAGAATAGCTTCTTCTGCGTCCCCGTGGCGCAATAGGGCGTGTTCTCCAAAACCAACGGAAAATTGACCTTTTGTGACACCCCATGCTTCGCGAAACCAAGCACCCCAAAGAATTCCGTCCATGAAATGTGAAAATTTATTAGAGTGGGCTAGAAGGGCGTGTCACGCACGGTTCAATATTTTGTTCAGTTGAAGCGGTTGACTACGATGTTGTATATTATAGAGCGGTTTGTTAGCTTCTCCACTTTGAACCGCCACATACCAGCATGAGCAGTGCTACAAGAGGTGCTGTGTGAGTTTCACGCTGAAAGCTATGTAACCTATGTGTGACACGACCTAACATTGTTCGATCCGTGCGGCCCAGTGCGGGTTTTGCGCTGCTTTCACTAGTCGATTTTTTTTTTACTTAGCGGGTTCACGAAGAGGCCAGCGACAGTCGCAGCGTGTCGCAATGGGGGTCGCCAAGGGGGCAGTGGCGACGGTGTCGGCGAACGAGTGCGACTTCATTCTCGCGGCGGTGCGCGACGAGCTGCGCGTCGATGGCCGCAAGCCCTTCGATTACCGCTCCTGGGACGTCTCTTTCGGCAGGTAGCCACTGTACGCGGTATAGGCTTAACCCATTCTCGAGTGAGGGGCTATTAACAAACACGACGTGTGGGACAGCAGAGCCACGTGCCTTGCTAAGCGCAGCTGTTCGCCTGGAATGTTCGCCATTTGGAAGCTTTTGAATGCCCTCGTCATGTGTCACGATGATCATGCGCACCCCGCCGCATTCTTGCTTCTACCACACCACGTGCCCAACTTCGTTGCCCACCTTCTTGCCCACCTCGTGCCGTCCATGTCGCACACTTCCACGCCGCCCGCCGTCATGCCGCCGCTATCCCGGAATCCTCGTCTTTCGTGCGCCCATTACATACACCCTTAACATCCTTCTCTCTCCACTGCCCATGAGAGCTCTACTTGCGATGGCACGTTCTCCTCCACGAAACCTGCTTCATGCCTCTTGCTGGCTCCTCCGCCCCGCATTCCGCCCCGCGCGCCTGCTTCCTCGTCACCTGTCCCGTACACGCCTTTTCCCAATCCGTCAATGTTGAATCTCTTCCCCCAAGCCCTCTTCCCCCAAACCCTCTTCCCCCAAACCCACTTCCCCCGAACCTTCTTCCCCCAAAACCTCTTCCCCAAACCCTCTTCCCCCAAACCCTCTTCCCCCAAACCCCCTTCCCCCAAACCCTCTTCCCCCAAACCCTCTTCCCCCAAACCCTCTTCCCCCAAACCCTCTTCCCCCAAACCCTCTTCCCCCAAACCCTCTTCCCCCAAACCCTCTTCCCCCAAACCCTCTATCCCCAAACCCTCTATCCAATTTTCTGATGCAGGTCGCATCAGGGTTGATGGCACAGCAGAGGTACGGGTAGACACCACCTGCATTCTTGCACGTCTCATTAGCCCTTTCCCTGCCCTTCATTCGTCTCGTCCTGCTCTGCTCTATCCTGCTCCATCCCCATCCCCCATCCCTTATTCCCTAGCTCCCATGCCCAGGGACGACGGCACAGCAGAGGAACAGCTGGGCAGTACACGCGTCCTCGCCTCCGTGTCAGTCAGCCACTTTCACGCTGCCCTTCCCCTCGTCTCTCTATCCTGCTCCTCTCATCATCCCCCATGCCCCATTTACCAGGGATGACGGCACAGCAGAGGTGCAGCTGGGCAGCACGCGCGTCCTGGCGTCAGTCTCAGCAGCGCTCACGCTGCCCTTCCCCGACCGCCCCAACGAAGGCTCCCTGGCCGTCTTCACAGAGCTCGCCCCCATGGCTGACCCGCGTTTTGTGCCTGGGCGGCCGGGGGAGGATGCGATTGAATTGGGGCGCATCATTGACCGCGGGCTCAGGTGGGGATAGACTCTCAGTCACAGACAGGGGAGGCGGGTTATTATAGTGCTAGCGTCCTGCCACTGAGCACTCAGCTCGGCCCTGGCTGATCCCTGCTTCGTGCCTGGCCGCCCGCGCCCGGGGGAGGATGCGAGTGAGCTGGGGCGCCTCATTGACCGTGGACTGAGGTAAGGGTGGACAGAGTCTCAGAAAGGGGCGCACCGCGCATCCGTCACAAATAGGGCGACCGCCTTCAGGGTCCCAGGGGGCTTCACGGAGCTCGCCCCATGGCTGACCCGCGCCTCGTGCCCAGGCGCCCGGGGGAAGAGGCGATAGAGCTGGGACGAATTAGTGAGCGCGGGCTGAGGTGAGGATGAATTCCCGTATAGGGGCACACGTTCCCGTATAGGGGCACACGTTCCCGTATAGGGGCACACGTTCCCAAAAGAGTCTCCGTCACACACACGTGCCACAGCCCACACGCTCCCAGCGGGCTTGCTGCTTGTTACCGAGGGGAGGGCTCGCTGGTGGTGCCCACGCCACGCCAATAAAAGTTCAGGCAAATGTGAATTCCTATTTCCACCACTCCTCTGCCCCGCTGGGAGAGCCATGCAGTGGACACGGAGTGGCTGTGTGTGGTGCCATTATGTGCCGCATCCTTGACCGTCTGTCTGTGCGGCTCATCCATCCCCATCCCCATCCCGATTGTCCATCCCCACACAGGGAGAGCCATGCAGTGGACACGGAGTCGCTGTGTGTGGTGGCGGGGAGGGCAGCATGGGCGCTCAGACTGGATATCCGAGTCATGGACAATGATGGGTGAGTCATGGACAATGAATGATGGGTGAGTCATGGACAATGAATGATGGGTGAGTCACCTGTACACGCAGTAGTGGTGCTGGGTTAAGTCCTTTCACACACCCTGCACCACCTTGCCTTTCTCGCCACACACTCACTGCCTCTGCTCCCTCGCATTCGTGCTGCACATGGTCACTGCTGGCGGCTTTTGTGCTCTAATTATCTTACTCCCTCTCGCCCCAACTGCCTTCACCACCCTCCCCCCTTCATGCCTGCTGCCTCTGTATCCGTCGCAATCTGGTGGGGCGCGTGCTGCTTGGGAAGCATCAAACGCTTCCTTCCTCTGTAACCGGACTGGACCCCTCTCCTCCTTCTCCCCTGCGTCCTCCAGCAACCTGGTGGATGCGTGCTGTCTAGCAGCAGTGGCAGCGCTGCTGGCGTTCCGCCGGCCAGAAGTGACAGTGGGGGGGGACGATGGCATGCAAGTGGTGGTGCACTCAGTGGAGGTGAGCGGGTCAGTCAGCTTGACACAGCCATTCAATACTCTCTATCTGATGCTCTCCGCTGATCATCTTAACGCAAGCATTCAGTGCAAGGGAGTGGTGCTGTGTGGAGTCACCATTTTTCGTTCACTCGTACACGAATCCACACCACTTACACCCACAGTGCACGCCAACCCATAGTAGGCAGACAGCAGCACGCTGCTTGTGCACCAACATCTGCCCCCCGCACTCCAAGCTCACCCTGCGACACTCTCTCCTCTCGTCCTCCTCCCTGCTTCGCTCCCTCTTGACATCCTCGCTCCTCACTTAGTAAGTTATCCGCACTGTGCTGTGCAGTGCACCCACAGCCTCCTCAGTGCTCACTCCCCTCGTGCACAAACCATCCTCGGCACTCCCCGCCCCCTTCCTTCGTGACGCATACTGCCCACACTGCACTGCACTGCACTGCACTGCAAGAACGTGCTCTCTGCCCACTCTTCCTCGTCCGTCCCTTCTCCCCTCCCAGCAGCGAGAATCCTTACCCCTCATAGTGCACTGCACAACCTGGGTCTCGCGGGTGCTTCATCTTTTTCTACCCATTCTGCGCCTCTCTGCTTCCATCTCTTGTGCTCACCCCATCGCCCCCCCACCCCCTGCTCCTAGGAGCATGACCCCATACTGCTCACAGTGCACAACCTGCCTCTCGCTGTCACCTTCACCTTCATCTACCCACCCTCTGCCTCTCTGCTCTCCTCTGCTCCCCCCCTCACAATCACCCCCCTCCCCCCCCAGGAGCGCGACCCCATACCCCTCACAGTGCACAACCTGCCCCTTGCTGTCACCTTTGCATACTTCAACGATGGCAATGACGTGGTGCGTGATGGGTGTGCCATGAGTGGTGCGTGATGGGTGTGCCATGAGTGGTGCGTGATGGGTGTGCCATGAGTGGTGCGTGATGGGTGTGCCATAAGTGACGGATCACTCCAGCGTTTCCGAGTGCGAACATGACAGCAGGACTCAGTGCATCATTTCTCAGCCGGCCAGGTTTGCCTGCCTCCTTGCTGTGCGGGGCCGGGCATCCAAGTCAGCTTTTGAGTCGACTCAAATGCTGTGCGGGGCCGGGCATCCAAGTCAGCTTTTGAGTCGACTCAAATGCTGTGCGGGGCCGGGCATCCAAGTCAGCAGGACGCATGTGGTGGGCAGGAGGGGGGGCGAGCATGTGCTCTCTATCGGGTTCACAAGCACGCACGTTGAACTCCCTCCCCTGCCTGTTCTTACTCGCGATGCGACGGAGGGAGAGCTGTCTATTCGCTTCAGTTCAGTGCACTCAGAGCAAGGCCACAGCTTGTGGCTGTCCCACAACACAAAGCTCCAGTGTAACGCAACATGTGCGCAGCCTTCCTCTTGAGGCCATGCATGCAGTTACAGCTGGTGGTAAATGCACACTTTCATGCATGCATGTGTGAGAGGCATGGTTGTGCTGCGTCCTGATGATTGTGTGGGCTCCAAGTGGGCACTGTGTGAGCAACGAGCTGTGACGTCTCTTATCGTGCTGAACTGAGTGAGGAGCTCTCTCTGTCGCATGTATGCGGTCTAGTTTGGGTTCATGCATAAGAGCTATTTCAGGTTCGTGCATATGACCCCTGTGCATCGACGGTCAACCCATGCCACCCCAGGTGATGGATCCGAGTTCCAAGGAGGAAGTGGTGCAGGCAGGGCGGCGCACAGCGCTGTTGAACCCCAGGTCATGGATTCCAGTTTAAGGAGGAGGCAGCGCAACAAGGAAGGTGCACAGTGCTGGTGAACGCAGTGGGGGATGTGTGCAGCATGCAGAAGGGCGGGGGCGTTGGGGTGCTACTCCCCCAGCGCATGAAACACCAACCTAACCCTGTGCGTCCAACCACCCGCCTCCCACCATCCCATGTCAGGTCATGGATCCCAGCTACAAGGAGGAGGCAGCCCAGGCGGGGCGCTGCACAGTGCTGGTGAATGCGGTGGGGGGTGTGTGCAATGCGCACTCTGGCAGGGGCGTGGCCACACAACCCCTGTGCCTCCAACCACCCACCTCCAACTCCCACCATCCCATGCCAGGTCATGGACCTGAGCTTCAATCGGGGCGCTGCATAGTGCTGGTGAATGCGGTGGGGGATGTGTGCAGCATGCAGATGTGAGGAGGAGTGGGCATGTTACCCCCACCAACCTAACTCCTGTGCCTCCAACCTCCTGCCTCCAACCGTCTCACAACGCCTGTGCTGCCTCCAACCTAGCCCCGGTGCACCCCTGCCTCCCACCCCAGGTCATGGATCCCAGCTACAAGGAGGAGGCAGCCCAGGCGGGGAGGTGCACAGTGCTGGTGAATGTGGTGGGGGACGTGTGCAGCGTGCAGAAGGGCGGGGGTGTCGGGGTGTCACTCCCCCAGCTCATGCGCTGCTGCCGTGTCGCTGCCTCTGTGGCCCAACACATGATCAAAACGCTCACTGATAAGGTGAGCTTGGGTGGGTTGGGGTGGGGTGGTGCTGCGCATGGACAAGGTGTTGTCTCGCTGCTGAGCTGTGGGGGTGTGGGGGTGTCACTCCCCCAGCTCAAGTGCTGCTGCCGCATGGCTGCCTCCGTGCCTCAACGCATGGTCAGAATGCTTACGGATAAGGTGTGATGGTGTGGGCGAGTTGGTGACGACTGCAGTGAAGGGATGTAGGTCGGATTGGGGTTGATTGACTGGAAAGTGGCTTGCACGTTGCAACAAGGTATGGTGATCAATGCATGCAAAAGTGTGCATAATGGAACGAGGCAATGGTGGCGGGGCATGGGGATGGAGGCACTACATCCTTGCGGCGTGCAATTGTCCTCCTGGGCATGCACGTGCACGTGTTCACCCCTTCCCCTGCCCCATCCCCTCGGACCTTCAGGTGGCAGCACTGGCAGCAGAGCGGCAGCGGAGGAAAGTGAAGCGACATGCCTCCCCTGCTGCCGGTGCAGCAGCACCAGTGGGATTGGACACAGTGGCAGGGGGCGCAGAGGGGGCAGGGGGGCTGAAGGGGGGTGTGATTGGTGCGGCGGAGATTGCTGCCGTGCAGAGGAAAGGAGGGGGCGTGCGGGCAGGGCAGGCAGGTGGTGATGGTGATGGTGGGAGGGTGAAGGAAGAGCACATGGAGGACGATGAAGGGGAGGAGGGGGAGGAAGGGGAGGAGGAATCAAGTGATGGGGAGGATGGTGAGGACGAAGAGGAAGAGGGTGAGGGGGATGGGGGGAGAGGGGGAGCAGCAGGAGGGGGTGTGGATGCACTCTTCGAAGGAGGGGTGTCATCGTGGTGAGCTCTCACTTCTGCTATTCTTGCGCTTTTCCTCTCTACAGCTTACAGGTGATGCCTTCACTGCTGCCTGCCTGTGGGCGTTAAGTGCTCCATGGGGTACCATTGATGGTACCATTCTCATGGGCATGGTATTGTCCTTCAAGGCATGCTCAAAGGCTCGGCACCCCTGGCTGTGCGCATTTGTGCTGCTTGCCTGACTGTCTGCTTCTCGCCTCGCTGTGTGTTGGCTCATGGTTCACAGGTTGCAAGAGGAGCGTGACGACAAGAAGAGCAACAAGGGAGCAACAGCAGGTGACGCCTCCTCTCATGCTCCTCTCATCCTCCTCTCATCCTCCTCTCATACTCCTCTCATCCTCCTCTCATACTCCTCTCATCCTCCTCTCATACTCCTCTCATCCTCCTCTCATGCTCCTCTCATGCTCCTCTCATACACCTCTCGTCCTGCACCATCCCAGCCCGGTTGGGATCAGAGCGAGACGCCATCGCCAACCCTGTCCACAGTGACTCTTGAGTCGACTCCCAAGCACACTCCTCTGTCTCCCCTTCCCACCTAACCACTTTCATCCCCCCTCTCCTCTCCCGCACCACCCCAGCCCGCCTGGGATCGGAACTAGACGCCATCGCCGACCTGCTGCCATCCACTGCCGCCCCTCCTGCCCCTGCCTCCAAGGCCTCTGCCGCCCGGGCCGTGCCAGCTGCTGGGAAAGGTGAAGGGGATTTGCCAGCGGCAGCGGCAGCGGGAGGTGCAGGGAGCAGGGTGAAGGAGGAGTCTCTCACACTGGCTGATGCCGTGAAGAAGCCGAAGAAGAAAAAGAAGAGCAAGGCAGAGCATTGACGCACAGTGCTGACGCGCATGCAGACTGACTGATGGTATGGACTGGCTGGGTTGCTTGCACGTGGTGAGATGATGGATTTAGAGAGTCGGCATCGCTTGCAGTCGAGGGGTGTGGGTTGAAGGTGTGACCAGCCCACCTATAGGTTTGATTCTGTCCCGTGCATAGCAGAATGTTAGCAAAAATCTTGGAAAGGATTCACTGAGTAAACTTTCCAACGTTATGGGCATTTTGTGTTTGCCCAAAAACTTTCCACGTTTCATAAAAATATGTCATATGCCATAAGTTTCCATCATATGTACGTCGTAAATCTCTTCGAAACAGCACACCTTAGTCACCTGCCACATTTCTTGGAACGTTTGACATTGGATGAAGCACTGCGAAGATGGTTGCACAGTAAGACATAAGCCATCATGATACACAAAAACCAAGTCATATATTCTACAAGACGATTGAGTTTACCAACAGCTATGCTGGTGTCTCCTCTCCCATCACAAGCTGCACATGCAGCAGCAGGGGGCAGGGAGTAGAGAGCAGAGATGGATGCAGGGGATGCAGAATAGAGACGGAGGCATGCAAAAGACACACTGCGTGAAAGGCGTGAAGCGTGGGGGTGTGACACATGGCGATGTGAAGCATGGGGGTGTGACACATGGCGTTGTGAAGCGTGGGGGTGTGACACATGGCGATGTGAAGCATGGGGGTGTGACACATGGCGATTTGAAGCATGGGGGTGTGACACATGGCGTTGTGAAGCGTGGGGGTGTGACACATGGCGATGTGAAGCATGGGGGTGTGATGCCTGTCCATTCACCGTGGGAACGTTTCCCCCACCTACGACAATAATCATGGCCACTGCAACATGCGATTCCCATCCTTTCTCACCATGCCTGCACCTATCACCATGAATGCTCCCCCCACTATACCTGCCCCTCTCCCTTGGCCCCCTCAAAATGAAGTCGCATGATGCTGTGCGAATCATTAAGAGTATCTTATCTTAGGATGCCTCACCTTGAACACGTCTCACTTTCGACATGTCTCACCTTAAGCATGTCGGTTAGGAAGTTGGGTGCTGCAGCAGGCCGCGGCACTCCGAAGAGGCGGAAGGCAATGTCATCTAGCAGCTGTGCGGGCGAGGCAAAGGGAGGTTAAAATTGAATTGCACAATTTTGGGCAGGAATGAAAGGGTGGGGTGGGGTCGGTATGCGGTAGGTCGTACGAGGAGCGGAGAGAAAAAAGAAAACGAGATTCAATGCATGCTTTCCAAAGGCAAGGGTAGGGTGCAAGGATGGCTCCACGCTCCAGCAGAGAAAAGGGAATCCAGCCAGCGAAGCGAGAAACAAGACGAAGAGGGGAAGAGAGGGAAGGAAGCTTCAGGGAGTAAGAGCTAGGGGAGGGTAGGTGTGATCAAGAGAGGAGGGTAGGCGTGATAAAGTGAGGAGGGTAAGTGTGATCAAGTGAGGAGGGTAGGCGTGATAAAGTGAGGAAGGTAGGTGTGATAAAGTGAGGAGGGTAGGCGTGATAAAGTGATGAGGGTAGGTGCCATCAAGTGAGGAGGGTAGGTGTGATCATTTAAGCTTTAAGATGTGTGTTAGGCGAAATATAAAATGTGTGCTTATGCTTGATTGTAATCATCCTTTGTAGTGGAAATATTTTCTGAATCTCTTTGACGAGTTAACTTGCTCTATCAACGTATTGACGTGAAGAGCTATTTTGCACATGAGCACATTTCGTTGTCAACGCTGCGCAACGAAGTTTTTGAACGCTCTAAAACGCACGATAAGTTTTGCACTTACGGAAATCCCTCTTCAAACACGGACCCTTGGATAGGGGCTGGTTCTACCAGGCACCCAAAGACCTTCGGAGGTGACCTCGTGGGGACTACCTAGTGTGGATTAAAAGTGTGTTAAGAGCCTCTAGATCTTAAATATCTATCAACAGAGCAAGGACCCATTAAATGAGGAGGTGAGGCGTGAGGGAGAGAGGAGCAGGGACCCTCGAAGGAACATACAGGAGGGAAGGCAGGGTCGCGTTGGAGGGACGGCTCATAGCGGCGGCGCAGATGAGACAAAAGTGATGGCGCCCTGCGATCAGCTCTGTATGGTGGTGAGGGGATGAGGGGCGGAAGACAGGAGGATTATGAGAGGAAGAAGAGAAGCATTTGGGGGAGGCGCCCCCCGCAGCCGCAGGCCATGGATGATAATAGGACAGAATAAATTTGAAGCTAACCGTTCACTGATTTTCACCTGCTGGTGAGTGCAGGTGGAGTGCGGTGGTGAGTGCAGGTGGAGTGAGGTGGGAGCGGGTGGAGAGGGGTGGGAGCGGGTGGTTGGTGGAGATTTCTTACGCAGTGAGGAGAAGGTCAGTGAAACGCAAGAGGGGAGACTCCTGCCACTTGCTAGCTGCAGCACCAGCTCTGTCTTCAGTAGCACCACTGTCCACAGCAGCAGCAGCGTCAGCAGCACCATCAGCATCAGCACCATCATCACCAGCAGCATGGTCATCCGCTCCCCAGATGCCTGCCTGCTTCGTTTTGAGGTCGTGCCAGAGCTGCTTGCCCTGCTGCAGTCGCCCTGCCGCCAGACACCTAAGAGAGGAGGGGCATGGCAGGAAGGGTGCATCGGCAAGAGGAGGCCTTAGCGAAGGGAGGCATGGGCGAGGGGAGGCATGGGCGAGGGGAGGCATGGGCGAGGGGAGGCATGGGTGAGGGGAGGCATGGGCGAGGGGAGGCATGGGCGAGGGGAGGAATGGGCGAGGGGAGGCATGGGTGAGGGGAGGCATGGGCGAGGGGAGGCATGGGCGAGGAGAGGCATGGGCGAGGGGAGGCATGGGCGAGGGGAGCCATGGGCAAGGGGAGGCATGGGCGAGGGGAGGCATGGGCGAGGGGAGGCATGGGCGAGGGGAGGCATGGGCGAGGGGAGGCATGGGCGAGGGGAGGCATGGGCGAGGGGGGGCATGGGCGAGGGGGGGCATGGGCGAGGGGGGGCATGGGCGAGGGGGGGCATGGGCGAGGGGGGGCATGGGCGAGGGGGGGCATGGGCGAGGAATGGTCCAAAGATTTGTCGCTGCAGTCCCTGCTGCCGAACACCTGGGAGAGTGGGGATATGGGGGAGGCGAGGAAGGCGACAAGCTGAGCCACGTTATGGGGAAATGAGACGGACGGTGGGCTGCTAATCAGAGCAATTGCTGTGAGGGCTTCAAAGCGCGAGTAACATGGAGAGGAGAGGCGCGGGAAGAAAGGGGAGGTGTAAGAAGAATCAAAAGAGTGTGTTTTTTGGTCAACTTCAATCTCTATCTGGGGCATGGTAGACCATAAAACGCACTCTGACATGGCAGACCCCAAGCATGAGAGCCTGTACTGTACAGCATCCATTTTGGGGTGCCGGCATGAAAGTCTAGATTCTCCCTTGACCAGAAGGCGTAGCATGTCATGTCAGTGCATGTCGGCAGCCCATTCCAGGTGAGAGACTGAGAAAGCGGTGGTGCAATGGAAATCACAAATCTTTTTCATTGACTCGAAAGGATACGATTGCAAGGGGCAGCACTTACTGGAGCACAGCCCTGGCAATGACGAGGTCCCTCTCGCCGAGGTAGCACTGCAGTGCTCACGCAGCGCAATGGAAAAAAGCAAGCAGAGGGACAAGGAAGGAATATTTGGATGGGTCTAAGAAGGCCAAATGCATTTTGCAAAGGTAGCGGTGCAAATCACAGTGCAACGGAAGGAAGGAATCAGAGGAAAGGGACGGCAGGAGAAGAAAGAGATTTGAATTGTGGGAAGGAAGGGTGGCAATGACCGCCGAAGATGGATGAAACATGGAGAACCCAGCGTGGAGCCGTTGCTACGCACAAAATCAAAGGTGAGATTTCATGATTGCATTGCAAGCTGTGTGCAACACACACACACACACACGCCCCCTGTTGCTATCGCATAGAATACTGTGTGCAAAGCACCTTCAGGCACACATCCCTGTTGCTACCTGCTGTGCGTATTCCGCCAGGCTGTGAGCAAAGAGGGCGGGGTCGTCCGAGTACACAAAGTGGAAGAACGCCGCTGCATAGTCCTGCGTGGGGGGCGGGGCCCGGGGAGGACAATTGAGTCGACTCAGAAGAGTCTTGGGTTGTCTGAGCACACAAAGTGGAAGAACCCTGCTGTAGTTTCTCAGGATACATGATGGAGGCGATAGACATGGGATGGAGGCGATAGACATGGGATGGAGGTGATAGACATGGGATGGAGGCGATAGACATGGGATGGAGGCGATAGACATGGGATGGAGGCGATAGACATGGGATGGAGGTGATAGACATGGGATGGAGGTGATAGATATGGGATGGAGGTGATAGACATGGGATGGAGGAGATAGACATGGGATGGAGGCGATAGACATGGGATGGAGGCGATAGACATGGGATGGAGGAGATAGACATGGGATGGAGGTGATAGACATGGGATGGAGGTGATAGACATGGGATGGAGGAGATAGACATGGGATGGAGGCGATAGACATGGGATGGAGGCGATAGACATGGGATGGAGGAGATAGACATGGGATGGAGGAGATAGACATTGGATGGAGGTGATAGACATGGGATGGAGGTGATAGACATGGGATGGAGGAGATAGACATGGGATGGAGGTGATAGACATGGGATGGAGGTGATAGACATGGGATGGAGGAGATAGACATGGGATGGAGGTGATAGACATGGGATGGAGGTGATAGACATGGGATGGAGGCGATAGACATGGGATGGAGGCGATAGACATGGGATGGAGGTGATAGACATGGGATGGAGGAGATAGACATGGGATGGAGGAGATAGACATGGGATGGAGGCGATAGACATGGGATGGAGGAGATAGACATGGGATGGAGGCGATAGACATGGGATGGAGGAGATAGACATGGGATGGAGGCGATAGACATGGGATGGAGGCGATAGACATGGGATGGAAGTGATAGACATGGGATGGAGAAGCATAATTCGCAAGGACAAAACGAGGTGTACAAGCATGAGGTGTGTGGAGGGGAGAGAAAAAGGGGGGAAGGAAGAAGGACCAACCCTTTTGTGCGGAGGCAGCTGGGAGGGAAGGCAGTGAGAGAGCATGGGGTGAATGGGTGGGGAGGCCAGGGAGGCCAGGGCGGAGGAAGATTGGGAGGGGGGAGAGGGCAAGGGAGGCGAGGAAGAGGGGGAAGGGAAGAGGAGGGGGAATGAAAGAGGGGGAAGGAGGGGGACGAGGGGGAGAGGAGAAAAGGAAAGCACCAACCCGTTTATGAGGAGGCAGCTGGGACGAGAGGCAGTGGGCGAGCATGAGGTGAATGGCCGGCGAGCCCAGGGAGGCCAGGGCGGCGGGGGAGGACGCTGTGGGCGATGAGGGCTTTGCTTGCGCCTGGGGGCTGGATGGGGCTGATAGCATCTCGGGGAACTGGGCTGACCACCTGGTGAGGGGGAGAAGGCGGACAGGGAGGGGGGAAGGAGGATGGGGCGGAGGGCAAGGAGGGTGCTGAGTTCGCCTGGGGGCCGGATGGGGCAGAGAGCATTTCCGGGAACTGGGCGGACCACCTGGTGAGGCGGAGGGGGTACAGGGAGACAGGGTTGGGGGGAGAGGGTGAGGAGGGGGGCGTAGGCGAGGAGGGTGATGAGTGTTTTGAATTTGCCTGGGGGCTGGATGGGGCTGGGAGGATTTCAGGGAACTGGGTTGACCACCAGGTGACCCACAAGGACCCAACCTTACGCTTCTGTAAGCAACCACCCAACAGCGCCTATGAACCAATTTGAGATTTGAGCAAAGTCCTCTAGGGACTCCCTCTTGGCATCTGTCTGCAAAGCACGTCGCTGGAGTGGAATGGAGTGCAGCCGTGAGGAAGTGCTTGCACGTGCCCACTCTGAGCATGGCCACCTCGTCCGTTTCACCAAGGAGCAGCGGATGGGGCGAGGTGAGACTTCCACGTGTGAGTCCTAGCCAGGGGCACGTACTTGAGCGCAGCTCTGAGGAAGCGCTTGCACCCGTCCACTCTGAGCCTGGCCGCCTCCTCGGATTCACCCGGGAGCAGACCTGATGGGTCGGTTGAGCGCGGGAAGCTGGTGTACACTGCGGTGATGCGCTCTGGGGAGGGGTAGGAGGGGGAGGGGACAAGGGCGGGTAGGCGGGAAGATGTTGGGGGATGAGGGGGTCGGAGCAGATGGTGTGGACGGCTGTGATGCGCTGTGGAGGGGGGAAGGGCGGTTGATGCGAGGCAGACGGGACGAGAAACGGATGAGATGGGAGGTCGCAGTGGGGGTAGATGAGCGGGGACTGATTGGTTTTGAGACGTCTCAAAACCAATCTTCATACACGTCGCAGTGGGGGTAGATGAGCGGGGACTGATGCACATAAGGGGCTCAGCTGCCTCACACTGAGAGCTCACCCAGGGAGTCCTCCCAGCAGGGCGTCTCGGTGGAGGAGAGTAAGTCGGTGAGCAGCAGAGCGAGCTCCCCGCCACTGGTCACCTGCCCGTGCTCCAACTGCACACACGCCCCTGACTGCAGCAGCGCCATGGCGTCCTCGTACTTGAACTGCGAGGAGTACCTGGGGAGGGACAGGCAGAGGGAGATGCAGAGGGGGACAGGCAGAGGGGGATGCAGAGGGGGACAGACAGAGGGGGATGCAGAGGGGGACAGACAGAGGGGGATGCAGAGGGGGACAGACAGAGGGGGATGCAGAGGGGGACAGGCAGAGGGGGATGCAGAGGGGGACAGACAGAGGGGGATGCAGAGGGGGACAGGCAGAGGGGGATGCAGAGGGGGACAGACAGAGGGGGATGCAGAGGGGGACAGGCAGAGGGGGATGCAGAGGGGGACAGACAGAGGGGGATGCAGAGGGGGACAGGCAGAGGGGGATGCAGAGGGGGACAGACAGAGGGGGATGCAGAGGGGGACAGGCAGAGGGGGATGCAGAGGGGGACAGACAGAGGGGGATGCAGAGGGGGACAGGCAGAGGGAGATGCAGCACGCAGATGAGATTATGCGAGCAGGCAGGGTTGAGGGGCAGAACCATCACCACCCATTGCTGCAGCTGCATGCATGCGCCTGCCTGCAGCAGTGCCATGGCGTCGTCATCGCACTTAAATTGTGAGGAGTACCTGCGGGGGGGGAGATGCGCAAGGAGAGGGAGATGCAACATGCAGAGGAGAGCATGCGGAGTTGAGGGGCGAGCGGGGCCATCATCACCCACTGCTGCAATTGAACACACACACGCGCCTGCCTGCAGCAACGCCATGGCGTCCTCGTACTTGAACTGTGAGGAGTACCTTCGTTCGGGGGGTGGAAGGAGCACAAAGATCTGAGCAAGAACCGGGTTGAGGGGTGCGACAATCACCACCACCCACTGCTGCAGATGCTTGCACGGGCCTGATGGCAGCAGTGCCGCTGCATCTTCGTACTTGAAGTGCAATGTCGAAGGGAGAGAGGGGAAGAGACAGGTGAGGGGCATGATGATCATAAGATGCGGCAGAAGCAGCGCCATGCGTCCTTGTACTTGACCTGGGAGGAGTACCTGCCAAGAGGGAGAGATGCAATGTGCAAGTGCAAGTGGAAGGGAGCGCATTAGAGAGGCACACCAAAAACTTCTGCAGCTGCATGAATTCACAAGGGAATTATTCCGATACGAAGCGAAACCATTTCGAAGAAAAACAACTTGAAGTGAATCGCCTCGAAGCAGGTTAGCAACTTGCAGTAAATCGTTACTGAAGCGTGCAGACGAATCACCTTGTAGCGAGGCTCTTGTAGAGCTGCTGTGCCTCGTAAAACTCCCCACCCTTCACCCTTCGCGCTAACCGCTCCTGCACCTGCTGCCATGCACATGCACATGCCACCCACATGCCACCCACGTGCCATCCACATGCCACCCACATGCCACCCACGTGCCATCCACATGCCATCCACATGCCATCCACATGCCATCCACAAGCCATCAGCTTGCCATAAACATGCCCAGTTTGTCATGCATGCAGTTCGAAGGAAATAAAGAAGTCAGTCAGAGGGTTTTAAGTCCGCTATGCAGAGAGAGAGGCAGAGTGAGGAGCATAAGGAAGGGGAGATTCAACAGCAATGATGATGACGACGACAATGGTTATGTTAATAATCCGCCTCCTGAGGGAATGGTGTGGTCGACAGTGCTACTCGCCTTGCCAGTCCCATGACACTCAAAGGCGCTGTTTGTCACTCGCCTTGCCAGTGCGGTCGCTGTCGCCCCCCATGCCCCCCTGCCACCTGCCGCTGGTTGCCCGTTCCCTGTTGCCTGCCGCCTGCCGCCTGCTGCCTGCCGCCTGCCGCCTGCCGTGTGTGTGCCGCCTGTGGGAAGGTGCGGGTGGTGTGATGCGACGGAGGAGGGATTGGGGGGTGGGAGGTTCGGAGAGATGGGAAGGGCGTTAACGGCAGGAGGGGAGACGGCGAGGGAGAGGGGGAGAATGGGAAGGGCGGGGATGACGAGAGTGGACTACCTTCGGAAGAGAGAAGGGAGAAGCGCTAGCGCTTCTCAATCACCTCCTCCCCCTCGCCTTACGGCCCACCCCAGCTCCTTCACCAACTGCCACACAATCCTGTCGACCTTCGGGGCGCCTCAAAAGTCGCTAACACGCCTCACCATCTGCCATTCACTCCTGTCCTATTGGATTCACTTTTGAGCATTCTCGAAATTCTCTCCGCTCCCACTCTCTCTCTCCCTCTCTTCTCCTCCCGGGAGGCAGGCACCATCTCCCGCCGCTCAGCCTCCTTCCCTTACGCCGCGCCCCACCTTCCTCACCCTTCGACGATGCGCCACGCGATGATTGGTTGGGACGAAGCCGACCCTGATAGGTGCCCTAGTTGTCGCCTGTGACAATATCGGGTGGCGCTCTAAGTAGTGTTAGACGGTATCGACGGCTACTACAGCGCGTAAGGATGCCTCGAGTGGGATTGTTCGGATGAGTCAACAGAATCCTCGGTGGTAACGGAACCGTTTCCAGGAAGCATTTTGCGAACGCGTTTCTACAGCGCCTTACACCTAACCTAGGTAAATATAGTCATCTATAAAATGACATTGAAAGCATTTAACTACCACTTCTTCCACAGAACAAATTTCTTCTTATGGCACCATTTTGCCATAACTTACCTTATTGGGTCTTTATTTTCATGAGTTGTCAAACAGAGTATGCAAAATCAACGAATAACAAAGCAATGACCAGGGCTCTCGTTATCAGACCAATTTGGTCTGATGGTCTGATTTTCAGACCTTCATTTTTCCTTTCATCTGAACCATAAGACAGTGATTTTTATTTCGTCTGATCCATAAGAGAAAGGATTTCAGTTCGTCTGGATTATCAGAGCAGGCGTTATACTTTGTCCGAAATTTCAGATAGCGAGTTTCGTTTCATCTGATACCGACAATTCTGCCCACGTAGCCATAGGTTGTCAGTTCTGGCAGGCACCTTTGGTGGCTGTAATTGCACGTGTAGTAATTCGCGTCGCCTCACTGGCCGAATTTTGTAGAGTACTGTACCAGCACAAAGCCCGCCTCGTACCAGCCCAACCAAGTCCCTTTCGCCTCTACCAGCCCAGCCAAGCCACCACCCCCCCCCCCCCCTACCGCCCCCCACGTCCGCCAGCCAAGCGCTACCGTAAGTCCCCCTTGCCTCTACCAGCCTAGCCACCCTACCAACTCCAGCCCAGCACTTCACCCAACTCCCTCGCACTGTCGCAAATCTTCCAGCAGAGTCCTCCCCCCCCCCAACTCTCATATACCTTTCCCAGCCCAACCCTTCCCCCACATTGCCCGCTCTTACCCTAGTCCAGCCCCACTCCGCTCTCGAGCCCCACGCCTTACAGTCCTGTCCACTAATGTGCAGTCTAACTCACCGCTGCTGCGTCATCAAGATGCAAGTTGCAACATCAGACGCGGAAAAAAAATTCGTTTGAGATTTCAGACATGCAATGGAATTTTGTCTGAAAAGACAGACACGCGAAAATTTCCCGTCCGAACGTCAGACGAAACGGATTTTTGGGTTTAGGTTTTCAGACAGGCCAAAATCCTAGCGAGAGCCCTGGCTGTGACTAAATGGGTACTGGCGGTGCTATGAAAGTGACACGGTTATACTGCAAGGAACCTGGCTAAGCGAGGACCTAGCCACAATTAGACGAGGCTCGGAAGATTGGCAAATGTTGCGGTGGCGACTCGGAGGTGGTTCGTGACGATAATATAGGCCGAACCAGCTGACACTATCTCCTTCTGAAACGTTTGCCAGCGTTTGCCGCGCCCGCGCCTGCTGCGCTCGCGCTGCCGCCGGCCGCGCCTGCCGTGCCAGTGCCTGCGCCTGTTGGGCTGAGAAAGCCCTTAGGATCGTTTCAAGGCTAAGACTCGAAGTGATGATGTAATTGCGGAAGCGTTGTAGTGAACTGGTTGAACCACATTGCACTAGTGTGTGAGAGCAAGATAGATTGAGTATAGCAAGGTAATACAAGGCTTTAAATGATTACAAGGGAATATGAGAAGACATAACTAACTGTTGCTGTTGCGATTCGATATAGCTGCGACTCGGGCAACTGCTCAGTAACGAGTCAGTTGTTTGTCCTTGCTGTCGCGCTGCCTTTCGGTGAGTCAAAGGTCGCTGACCTTTGACCTTCGCTTAACCTCCTTGCTGTTACCTTTTGTCAACCTCTTCGGTTGACTCGCTGTTGCTTCTCTGTAGTCTGCCTTGCTTACGATTTAGTGCTTCGACAAATCAGAAGCGCAAACTACATGTTTCCAATAGCGCCTACGGAGCCCGTGCCTGCACCTACACCTGCCGCGCCTATGCTCGTGCCTGCCGCTGCAGCCACCGCGCTTGAAGCCATGATTTTGAGTTTCTCCCTGCCTGACTACCTCTGACTGACTTCTCCGCCTGTGGCCGTCCCCCTTCATCTGCTGCAGCTGTGACCCTTCCCCCTCTCCAAGCGTCTCACACTGTACATCCTCGCGGCCCACCTCCCTGACTGCATTGCGTCTGTTCGAGGTGCCCTCCTCGCCTTGCACCCCTTCCGCCTCACTATCAATCTCTTTGGGACTAGTCTCACTGGTGTGCCATCTCTTCCACTACTATTGTGCTAGTCCCCTCCATCTTTGAGGGGTGCGCTATCCCCCCCCCCCCATCTTTAAGGTGTGCTCTCCACCCTAGCGCCCTACCTACACTAACTCTGCTACTGTTGATGATCCTACTGCTGCGGTGGAGGTCACAACTGGCGCTGCCTCTGGTGGGGAGGACGGCGTAGGAGTCGTCGTAGTCGTGGAGGAGGTGGAGGCACTAGTGAGTCGAGGGGTGCGGACGCTGAGACTGCTGGTTTTGGATGTCGTTTCAAGGCTAAGACCCGAAATGATGACGTAATTGCGAAAGCGTTGTAGTGAACTGGTTGAACCTCCTTGTGTCAGAATGAACAAGAGTGATTGCACTAGGAAAGAGTTGGGTACAAGTAGGAAACCCTAAACTTAGTGTACCCCATAGTAACTACCCCACTACAGCCTAAACAAACTGTAGCAGATGTAACATTTGACACACCCCCATAGGCAAAGTGGGGGAGAGCAAGGGGTCACAAGACCAGTCAAGAAAGGCAAAGCAAGCTCAGGGTGGATCACAACGTCACCACAGACTCTGAGCACAAACAAAGGGCCACAAGGCCAGTCCACATGCAGAGGCATATATGCAACACAAACAGCACAGTGATCTCTACCTAGCAAAGCAAGCATGGAGTTATATATATATATATATATATATATCTAGAGATCACAGTACAAGCAAAGCCTACAGCAAGTGAGGAAAAGTGGGCACAAGCCCTAGCATAGTGCAGAAACGCTGATGATCACCAGACTGAAGTGCCTTGGTGAATATATCAGCAGTGTTGGCCTGAGTGGCCACGTAACGCAGACGAAGCTGACCACGCTGCTGCAACTCTCGAGCCAGGAAGTAACGCAGAGCGATGTGCTTCGTTCTGTGCTCCAGTCTGTGCTCCTCATACAAGGCAATGGTAGCCTTGTTGTCGACGTACAGCACTGGAGGAGAACGAGGCCGCTCTCCCAAGTCAGTCAGCAGGTAGGTGAGCCAGCGTAACTCCTGTGCAGCCATGGCTGTGGCGTAGATCTCAGCCTCACAACTGGAGCTGAGAACTGAAGACGAACGTGTAGAACGCCAAGAAACTGAACCAGAGCCAAGGCTGAAGGTGTAACCCTATGACGACCGCTGAGTAGCCTGGTCGTCAACCCAAGAAGCGTCTGAGTGCCCAGTGAGGACAACTGAGCTCCTCCCTCCAAGCACGAGTCCCATGCCTGATGTACTGCACAAGTAGCGCAATACCCTCTTAGCAGCATCCATGTGCACCTTTCGGTGCCGACCAGGAGCCACGTAGCGAGCTAGAAGGCCAAGAGGGTACGCGAGGTCAGGACGAGTGCAAGTCATCAGGTACATGAGACAGCCAACTAGCACTGGATAAGGACCACTCGGCTCTACGGACTCGTCCGAAGGTGGAGCTGAGAGCGAGTGACCTGTAGCCAGAGGAGTGGCCTGTGCCGAGGACCAGGTGAAGCCGAAGCGCTGAAGGACCTGCTGCACCATGTGTGACTGAGTCAGTGTAATGGTGCGCTGTGCTCTGTCCCGGGTGATCTGCAAGCCAAGGTAGCTGCGCAGTTCACCCAGGTTCGTGCACGTGTGTCTCTTCTGCAGCTCCGAATTCACCAGGGTGAGAGCCTCAGTGTCAGCAGTGGCAAAGACCAAGTCGTCGACGTACACGAGGATGTAGAATGGCGGCAGCGAAGTGTCGGTGCGCAGAAACAGCGACGGGTCAGCAGTAGAAGGCGCGAATCCAAGAGCCGCAAGTGTAGTCCTCAGTGTGTCGTGCCACTCACGTGGCGCCTGGCGGAGACAGTAGACCGGCCGCCGGAGGCTCCACTGTGTACCAGGAGGGAACGACCCAGTGAAGCCAGGAGGGCGGCGCAGCCAGATCTCCTCGTGCAGGCTGCCCTACAAGAAAGCTGTGCTGAAGTCAAGAGAGTGAAGCTCGTAGTCACGCTGAGCGGCAACGTGCAGTAGCACCCGAAGAGTGGTCATCTTCGGGGTGGGGGAGAAGGTCTAGAAGAAGTCTACTCCCTCTCGCTGACTGAAGCCTCGAGCAACGTAACGAGCCTTGAAGACAGGCGGAGAACCTGGCGGCCGCTTCACCCTGAAAATCCACATGCCACTGACGATGTTCGCCCCAGGAGGGGGAACCTCGTTGACGTAAGTGCCAGTGGACTTCGAGGATGCCATCTCTGCGTCCATGGCTGACTGCCACTGAGACGAGTACTCACCCGC